GTTGCAAGTTTTTTTTTTTTTTTGTCGATTATGAAAATATGACATAGGCGTCGGAACCGGGGGGGGGGGGGTCCCCCCACTTTTTTCCCAAATATATACTTAGAAGAGACATTGAATATTGCTTCGTAGGTTTAGCCCCCCCCCCCTTCAGAAATAAAAGCAGAATTTTCATGTTTGGAAATGTACTTTTTTGTTAATTACTGTCCTACCCTATTGTTTTCGCTCTCGGGGAGGTTGCAGTGGTGTGAAAATGACTATGTGTTATACTTTGTATTTAAAAACAGTCTTATTTTAACACATGCTTGAAAAAAAAAATCCCTGGCAATTTTTTTTTAATCTAAATATTAGTATTATCTTTAAAATAATTCAGAATATGAATTGAAATTAACTATGCGTAAATCAAGTTTAAATTTATGTGTTGAATATATCTATCCCGGTTCAATTAAAGAATTAAAATTAATTAATCATATCTGTACAAGTCATATAATTAATGTTACGTGAAGCTGTCACCCATCCAAGGGTTAAACAGGCTTGCCGTTGCTTAACTTGCCTGAAATAGAGGGAGACTCTACCGCATCACCAGAAAAGCTAGCTCACTATATATAAGTTCCCTATATACCGCTACCCCTGTTACCCCTGTTTAAGATTTCCGGTTTCATTTGCTCATACTGGAGTTCCCCTATTGAACAGTGCAGTGCTCAATATCTAAACTTGTACTATGCCTTGTTAATTTTGTCACTTAAAACATTATATCTAAATGAATGGTTGGTTGATCGATGACGCAGGGTTCATAAGTACTCGATATCTGTAAGTCCGAGACTAATAAATAATTTTCAGACTAGTAATAAACATTCATGCACTATAGCAATTATAGTAATCTTAAGTAAAATATTTATATTTACTAGGTCAGCGGTAAGAATAATATTAGCAGTAGCACCATTTTTCTCCAATATTTTTCTTCTCTCTCTCTCTTAAATTCACATTCAATTTGCCGAGGGGATTGGATCACTATTTATTAGTTTTTGAACTTAATTTTAAAGTATTTTTTTAATCATGATTCAATTTTAACAAAAATATAACATGTTTCATAACTTCCAATTTCCTCCTGTAGCTATCGGTGAATTGGAATTAATTTAATTTTATGTGCTGAAATTAAATTTCATCTCATTAAAGGAGGTAGGCGTAGGGGGTGTTATGATGTTAACGTAATAAAAAGGTAGAGGATGGACTTGTCTGGTAAACTATTTTACGAAGTAGTGAAATTGGAAGTCATTAGTCAGTCGAACCAGTGCTCAAAAATATTTATTCCGAACCCTCTAGCATACATGTATAACCCCCCCCCCCCCCCCTTACACACACGTTACACGAAAAAGTATATAGTACACCGGTACTTAAATATAAATTTTATAAAAATGTGCAAGTTTTGTGAATGATGCAAATTTCTTTGTCCATTTGATCAATTTATACCCGTAATCATTATTAATTTGATTTATGTTTCATTAACATCTTTCCTTTTCATAAGAGTGAGATTATTCGCTAACTGTAGGTGCCCATTATCTTCCGTGTTGAGTAACCATTCATCTCTCTCTTTCGCTCACTCCTCTCTTTCTTTTTCTCTCTTCTCTCTCTCCAAAAAATCAATATCGACCAAGGCAAAGTTTAAAATATATTTAAACTCCAGCTGTTTTTTTTTTACTGTCATAATATTCAGCATATAAATTTTGTTTGATTTTTATTCTTAATTATTGATAAAAAGTTGAGGAAATAAACTATGAAATATTTTTTACTTGATTTGATAATCAAACAAGTTCCTCACTCAACTGTCCCACCACACACACACTATCACGACTTGACAAAAAATATAAGGAATCAGTAATTTTTACAAAACTTTGGATGTAATGTACATATTTATTTTTGCTTACATCTTTAAACAATTTGTGCCTTTCCCCGGTTGGTTTTTACATCAATCTTCTTTTTTCATTAATAGTTAATTTTTTCTTACGTCGGTATATTAAAAAAATATATTTATTTAATGTAAGAAGAAGTTGAAGGTTTGTAGACTGCATATTACGGATGTGTTGGTGTTGAATTTCTCAAATTCAGTCTGTCTTGAAGAAGAGTCTACCTGTCGCCGTAATGTTGCGTAACTAACTTCCAGTGAAATCCGGCGAATGGTCTTCTGTGTAATGCTGCAGTGACACCTATTGTCCTCTTTACCCGCTACCGTACACACTCGGATCGCCTCAGACAATTTCTTTTAAACACAGGTGCTTCACCAAGTTTACGATTGTATGTTGAATGATTATGTAATTCGGCTGGATACCAGCTAAACGACTTGAATAATTTTTGACGAATAAGAAGCACAGTGTTACTGTAAAATCATGATACTGGTTTCGATACCGAACAAAGCTATGAAATGTCGATTTATTAAGTTAATTTATTATGTTTACTTTAATTAAATTTATTAATTTTTTTTCCTAAACAGATAAAAATGAGTACAAACTAAACACGACAGTATAAATTGTGTGTTCTACTTAAGTAAAATAAATAAGGACGTGTTCATCGTTCTACATTTAATTCGCACTAACCCCCCCCCCATTTTAATTTGAAAAGAAACTAGATCCATGTGAACGTCTACCGATACTCTAATTGGAAAGAACATTGATATTAATTTCTATCAAAGTTTTGTTTCAGGAGTATGCATTAGACAAATGATGATTATATAAAAGGTCATAGTTTTACATTTATTTGAATTAAAATAACACTTTCAGGTGGGGTTCCAGAAAATCCAGATTCGAGAATCAGCTAAAAGATGTACATTATTTCAAAAGAATAATGCGGACAGTAACAGTGTAAGAGATTAAATATGTGATTCTAGGAATTACATACGCAAGAATTATTATTGGTTTTGGGTATGGATATTTTCCAGATTTGTGTTTGTATATTTCAGAAGTAATTAGGGGGGAGGTATCAAAAAAAATTAATTTGAAAAAAATAATCTACCAACAGAGTGGTTTTACACTCACACACACACACACCCTTACATACACATAAAAAAAACAGAAACAAAGATAAAACAGAAAAAATTAACATTTGTTTTAACTTTTTTTTTTTAACTTTTATCATCGAATATAAAATGATCTTGATTTAAACTACTTTATTATAGACCACCTTTTGCATAATCAATGCAATACAATGATGTGTTCACGTAATATATTTATTTAATAGACTCAGACTTCACTATAATCCATAAACAGCCTAAGGCATGTTACCTGACCAGTTGGCTGTGTGCGTTCAAGTTTGAAGCGATTTCCTGTCACGAAAACATACTTTGGATGCATTAAAAGCATCTGAAAATGAGTTGCAAAAATAGGATTATTCAGTCTTGACACTGCTAGGCGATTTATTTATTACTTTAAGGCAAGGAAAAAAAAGTCACGCAAAGCTAGCTGACATCGGATATTAAAATAAAACTATAATTTGTAACACATGTTCGTGAGTTTAAAAAATAGTAAGATTTCTTGGTCATAAACTCCGTGCGACACGGTGGAGACACACCGCAACACTCTGTGGACACACCGTGGTGCACCGTGGACACACCGTGCTACACGGAGCGCTGAAACCGCTACTTCAAAGGTGCCGACTATTTTCAAGGCCCACGCTAAAGCGTGGGTTCTCGGTCCACGGTGCCCCGTGTTTTATGCGGAAAACTCGTGAGCTGTACTGTATAAGGCAGCAATGTTGAAAAGTACACATCGATCAAAATATACAGTGAAGTGAAGGGCGGTGGTGGGGGTTGGAGGGGGGGGGGGGTACAGTCTCCTGCAAAGTCCTGTAGCAAACTTTGAAGGACAAAACACCTGGAAATCTACCTTATATGGGTCTGAATGATGTGTAGCATAGATTCAACCTGCATTCACTCAAACAAAATGTACACCTAAACTTCATTAGTAGTGCATCCTCCTACACTCTTTTCATAAACAACACTTAATGATGTTTTTTCTGTAACATTTATAAAATGTATATAAGTCAGCTCCAGATTCTGAAGAGTTATTTGCCCTTTTGCAGATATAGTAAATTTTATTTATTTCTATGCTTACATACCTGTAAAAATTTTGTTAAACATGTTAAATTAATTTGCAATAAAATCAAGTCAATTAAAGGCTATATATATAACCTGTAGCTATTAACAATGGACAGCTACTGGATTTTAAGAAATTTTACGAGCACAAATTTTATTGTGTAAATAGGTCTCAGCCATTAAGTTAAATGTTATGACTGAAATTAAATGATACTTTAAACTTAACACTTGTATAACTAGAAGATTCACTGTGTTTAAACAAAATTTTTCACTGTTTCGTGTCTTGCTGAGAATTGCCGTAAACATTTAACATTGCTGGCAGACCTTTTGACACTTAGACCTGTCTTTCACCTGATTGTGTAAGTGTTATGTCTGGGTATTATGACTGGGAAAGTCGTATTTGAATAAAGAATTGAAAGATTTAACACCTTTATGAGGATTTATCTCCCATGAATTCGAGCTGAAGATTACCTTATATAATGGCATTTGAAAATGTTAGATTTTTCTCTTCTTTTTTTTTCAAATTTAAGATTTTGGTATAATAGGTGATTTTGGGGCAGATCAAAAAAGATAAATAATACAGTAAATTTTGTTCTAGAGTCACATGCAAAAATTAAATATCCTGTTAAACTTCACTCATTTCCATGTAAATTCTGTAGAAACACTATAGTTAGGACATTCAGAAGACTACCAGGTAGTGTTGCAACAAACACTTAGTCCATAAGTAGCTGTAATTGTGGAAGGGCTTACTATAATACAGTGTATAGACTTTGTGTGCATAACACTGACTGAGATGCCCTTACCAAATGTAGTGCTTGTAAGTGAATACACTTGAAATACTTTATAGGCTACTTGAAAAATGTTCATAAATTTCATTATCTGTGTTACTATCAGACATATAAGTTTCCTCGTCATAGAAGAGTTTTTTTATAAACGGGGACCCTTATAGTTCCTTGTTGGTTGACAGTGATTTCGATCAGTTGTGATAGATAGACTACCAGACCTATATGTGTGTATTTTGTGTGTGTCATTCTTTTTTTTTCACCTGTCATATCACAGCATAATGAGATACAGACTTAATGCATGCAAGATGAGCAATTACGTATGTCGTAACTCCGTAATATTACACAGGAAGTGGGAAGACTGAAATTGTTATGGACAGTTCTCTCAGTTGTTGAATAAGGAAGCACTTAATTAATTTTTTCCACTAAGTGTTTGTAAATTAATTCAGTGCCAAAGTTTACATTTAGAAATTAAGTACTGTGGAAATCATATTAAGTGAGATGTAAAAATCGTTTTCATGGAAATGTTCTCATCACATGACAGACTAATGCATGCAATATTGGAATCAAGATAAACACTGGAACAAATTGTTCATGGATTTCATTGTAATTCAGAGAATATAAGGGTTTGACAAATTTAATTGGACTCCAACACCTTTGAAATCTAGAGAGAAAAAGATGAATTTTAGTGATCTGGATCGGAATTAACATACAAATCCTTTGATCCTGAGCTGTGGTGTGAAAATTTTCTTCTCGACTTTGATTATGGAAATGTTATAGGGAGTTTTCAAAATAAAACATTATGTCACTGAAGTAACAAAATTGTTTCTCCCAGTGGTTCGAAAAATCAATCACTATTGGATTTTAAAATTATTTCTCGGGATTATTTTAGTTGTGAATCGCCATGGATAGCATCACCTGTCCCCTTAGTCCAAACTCCGAAAGTAGACAGGTAGACATCATTAATGATATGCAGGCTTTTAATTATTTTTTTTCCTCTTTAATTAATGTTTGGTTATGACAGGAGATGCATGCTATATGTTGTATGCATCAATTGGCAGAATACAAATAAGAGAATGCTGTTGCTTTAGCTTACCATGACCATGATGACGGAGAAGAAATTTAAGTCCAATTTGAATGTTTTTTTTCTGCTTCAAGTCTTAAAGCATGGGATCTGAAATGAATGCATTATTGTTTAAAAATTTTTACACCTTTCACATGAATATATAGGTCTCAGTACATGTTGTGCAAACTTCCTGACTGAATATTGAGAAGTCTGACAGATTTTAATTCATTTTGATATCAATTTTGAATCTTTGACGAGGCTTAACATATAAGTTTTCCCAGTGACATCTTTATGATGTGGCTAATTATATTGCACCAGATGCCCTTTAAGCTTATAATAAAGACATCTACCTGTATGGGCAAGTCAGCTGATTGTATGAATTGTAAATAAATGTATTTATTAATAATAATAATGAACAATATTTTGTATTAAGGCTACATAAAGACGAAGATTAACTGTGACACAGATGTAATTATTGATGATAATTTATGCAAATAGTGCAATTTGAAGATATATGATTATGAATAAATCTTGATCAAATGATCATTATCTGGGATCATATTTCAATGATATAAATGCACAATAAATTAAAAATTATTAATGAATGTCATAATCTCCAAAGCCCACCACAGTTTAGTGAAGCTTGAAGCTCTGGTAAGGAAAAGAGCTATAAATAGACTGAATTTCAGCAAACTGAAGATGTAAATTTATTCCACTGTAACCAGGTGGAGCTTTCTTGAAAATCAACCAAGAGACATACCGGTACATGTATAACATAGTGAACCATCATTCAAGTGCAATGCTAATATTAAAAAAATATCATGACAAGAGTACACGGCGGGTGTAAATGTTTGACAGGGGATGTTCACTCCTCCATGACACCTGATCCCACCTCTGATGTTTTAAATGTTTATGTTTGCTTTTCTCCAAAATTTTAATTGTTTAATAATATTTTGAGCTTGAATGTTTTTCATTAACTCTAGCATGTATTTCATACAATAAGTGCTGATAAAGAATATAATACAAAAGCATGACAGAAAAGAATGAATCACTACATGTAGATGTAAATGTCATACATGTTGCTTTTTTGATTTTTAAGATGTTAAAGCTTGCATTTGTTAAATTACAACTTTTAAGTAAAAGATATTAAATGAGCTCAGCTTAGCTTAAGCATACTGTATACAGGGAAATTTTCACCTCCGTTTTATTTTTGCCCCTTTCGCCCTATCCTCATTTGGGCGAATTTAAAACGGGGCCAATTCAAATAATACAGTATAATTTCTTGAACAAAACTATGATTGAGCGAATTTAATTGGGTCTAAATTGTTTGCGAGTATGAAAAGGTGAAAATAACACGGGGCGTAAATAATCCTGTGTACAGTATTAAGGAATCAGAATGAAAGATTGACTGTTTCTTTTAAACTCTTGGTCCAAAGAGTGACAGATTGGTAACTATTAAAAGTGGATGGGATGAAGAAATGAATTCTAAAGTTTCAAACTGAAAAAGATCAATTTTTCTGTTTGTCTGTACAAAATAATAATTAAGAATGTAATGTACTTAAAGAGATATTGAATTACACAGTTTAAATAAATTCAAAAGGAAACTGACACTATATAAAATAGATTTATTTTATTTTTTCAGATGGCATTTAAGATTCGTTCTTCCAAGTACCGGCACATCTATGGCAGCATTCCAAAGAAAGAACTCTGTTACGAAAATGTTAAAATCACCAGAAACACCCACGACAGTAACTTCTGTGCCGTCAATCCCAAGTTCCTCGCTGTTGTCACGGAAACTGGTGGAGGGGGATCTTTTCTTTGCATTCCATTAAAATCAGTAAGTGACCTTTGACCTCATAACGGAGGTCATCCATGAATGGATACAAAAGAGTCAAGGACACATACTTTAAATTACCACAAATCCTTAATGTTTGTTGTGGATAAGGCTTTTTTTCTCAGTGACAAGTGTATTGAATATTTTGATGTTATGTTCTAATTCGTTTCACTCAAACGAACATAAATTATTTACAATCAAAACAAGAACACTTGTCTATATAGGAATGGAAGCGCTTGCTTGCCAGTATTTATTAGACGTATACATTTACAAAACACAAGTCTTCAATGGTACCGACTCTCTACCTTCCTTCTACAATATATCAAAAAATAATTAATCACACATCACAGTACAAAATGCATTTTAACACAATGCTTTTAGAACATTTCGACTATATGTAACTATTATGTTCCATTTTACATAAAATTATTTAGAGCGACTTAGCAAATTGTTTTCCATCTTTGACAATTAATCTGTTGTGTACAAAACTTTTTATTTTCTTGTGATGAAAACATTTTTTTTTTTTAAACTTTCTTTATTAAACAAAATACAAGTAAGAGGGTGAAGAACGAGGGTGGTGAGTGGGTGTGAATGTCGCAAAGCAAAGCCTTCGAATGAGTTAAAAGCATGATTGAATTGAATACCTGTTCACCTGTTCTACAGGTATTGGCCTTTAAATACTAACCAATCGCTACTGTCGCTTTTATTAGCACATAATAAACAAAAGCACGTGTTCCTAGTACATATGATAAATTAATATAAATTGCCAAATAAACATGATAAATTGAATCAATTATAATGAAGTTTACATGTAATACTTGCAATCAATGCATATTCAATCATGATGATGGATAATGAAAATGCCACTGTTTGATTTTTTTTTAGCTTTACAAGATAGTGAATAGATAAATCATTCGCATTGTGCAATCACAATTAAGAAAAATAAATCTCGTTTAAAGTATTTCATGAAATTTCACTGTGTGAGAACATTTTTGTTTAGTGTGATAAAGAAGTTTGTGTGTTTTGTAGAGTGGTCGTGTGGACCCTAAAACCCCACACGTCTGTGGACATGCTGGGGTGGTGCTGGACATCAAATTTAACCCATTCAATGATAACATTATAGCCAGCTCATCAGAGGACTGTACAGTGAGTTACTATTAATCAATATTTTATACACATTCAACAATTAACTTTCAAATATTTATGCCAGATAAAACAAAATTGATAGTAACAAAATTAATATGTTAATGAAGGGAAATGGATCAAGTTGCTTAAAAGTTGCAGGCATAATCATGACATTAGTAACTTTGAAGCCATTATGTTAATCATGAATTCATTATGATCAGTCAATTCTCAGGAAGAGTAAAATTAATTAAATAATGATTTGTTTCTATCTTTAGGTTAAGTTATGGAGGATCCCAGAGGATGGTCTGAAGACAAACCTAACAGAATGGCTGGTGGATCTCCACGGACACAAGAGGAGGGTAGGGTACATAGAGTGGCACCCCACAGCCGAGAATATACTGCTCAGTGCCGGCTTTGACTACAAGGTAACCAATCAGAGAGCTAGTACATTTAAAGAGGCTAGGGGGTGGCAGCCATTTTCAGACTATTTCTATCTCCTTTAAAAGAAGAGCTCCATATAAAGATATACAAACATGATCAAATTTTAAAATTAAAATGTATTAATTTTTTCTTTGCCAAATGATAGTTGACAGCTTAAGATACCATATCTAAAAAAAAAAATTTAAATCTGGTGGTTAATTTGTGGATAATTTGTTGACCCCCCAGCCTCCTTAAACCAATCAGAGAGCTTGTACAAGGTAACCAATCAGAGAGCTATTACATTTAAACCATTCAGAGAGCTATTACATTTAAACCAATCAGAGAGCTATTACATTTAAACCAATCAGAGAGCTTGTACAAGGTAACCAGTCAGAGAGCTAGTAAAAGGTAACCAATCAGAAAGCTTTTAGGGAACTTACAGTGTAACCAATCAGAGAATTGATATATAGGAACCTGAATCAGAGAGTGTATACAATGTAACCCATCAGAGAGCTTGTACAAGTTAACCAATCAGAGAGCTTGTACTAGCCTAGGAGAGCTTTTGGAATGTAACCAATCAGAGAGATTATGCTATGCAAAGTAGCCAGTCAAGTAAATATAAACAAAGCAACCATGGCATGCAGTCAGAGAACTTAATAAGCCTAGTATCCAAACACAGAGTTTAGTTTCTATTAATTTATATATAGATAAATAATTATTGCTAAGATTAGGACAAGGGTTCTGTATCATTGTTGAAAAGGTTGAATGATATTGAGATTTTGTGCACTAGAAACCTAAAATTTTTATAGGAACATGAAATTGTGAGTCTTTTCACATCTCAAAAAAAATAAATAAATACCCCAATGGTAGTTTGTATTCTTATTTTATGATCAGTGGAGTCAGAGAGTCCTAACTAAAAATACCAAAAATAGATAGATAAGCAAGATTTCTAGTAATGAGAATTTGGGCCAATACATTAAATTATTGATGTGTGATCAATGTCAGAAGCTTTATAATGATGAATGGTTAAGGGATACCAATCATTTTATTCGCTTTCGTAATTTATGACAGTCCACAAGACATGTCTTTAGCTTCCCATGGCTTAGATTTCCAGGTTTATGATTGATGAAGGGTCAAATTTTTGTTGATATGCATTAAGTTTACTTCTATGATTGAGTATTGGTTTAAAAATGATGATTAAAAGGCCAGTGAAATTTGAAATTTTTGACATTTGTGAAACTGATTTTTTTCTTCAAAATGTTCTGTTTACCCCAATATAGATTTCATATATATGCTTGGATTTCAGTATTCAAAAATTACAAATTTTTATTATTAAGTACATGAATTTAGATAATCACATGCCAACTATTCATCATATGGTACTCAATATTACCTTGTACATTATGCATCATGTAAGACATTAAGGTTGGTATGTTTAATTACTTTTTATTTTGATTACCGGTATATAATTTTCACTGTTGCAAGAGGAAGTCTATATAGTATTACATATATTATAAATAAAGACTGAATTATTCAATTTACTCTATAAAAGAAATTAATGTTAACTCCTGGACTTTGAAGATATTTAATGTCTGCACATCTTGACACTGCAATTCCAAATTCTTTAGTAAATCTAGTCATATATCTTGTAGTTTCTCTCTTTCAGTGTGTTTTGTGGAACGTAGAACAAGCGGAGCCGGTGAACGTGATCAGTTGCCACGAGAACACGATTTTCTCCATGTCGTGGAACCAGGAGGGAAGTCTGTTTGCCACGTCCTGTAAAGACAAAAAACTACGGGTGATTGACCCCAGAATGGCCAGGGTCGCAGCGGTAAGGGATAAATAATTAGTTATTAGTGTTGATAATTTAATAAAAATTAATGTAGATCTAGAGCAATGTCTTATACCTGTCTTACATGACCATAATTTAATAGCATAAAAGGTGATTAATAATATGAGACATGCATGTAGCAGGGAATTTGAAAGGCCAATTTTTCATGTTCACATGTCCATGATAATGAAATGCAGTCTTTCTCATAAAATAAAGGAGAAATTTATTTAAAAATTAATGATTTAACAAATTTCTTTCAGACATGAAACTTATTAGTTTAAAAATACACGTGAGAATCTTCCGCAATTTTAACCTCAAGGTGTTGGTCTCCAGCTTTTCTTTGTTTAAAAATAGACTTAAAGACAATTATCTTAATCAATGCAAGTTTTTTTTTTTTATTTTGTAAGTAAAATAATTAAATTTTTAAATTAAGATATGTAATAAAATTTTTCATATATTATTCAGGAGACATCTACGCTGGACAATCTGGGCTCGCGAGCGTGGAAGGCTGTCTATCTCGGTGACTCAGGGCGAGTGTTCACGTCATACCACAGCAGATACTGTGACAGGGAAATCGCTGTCTGGGACATTGTAAGTTATTAGTAGACAGTAAATACTGTGACAGGGAAATCACTGTCTGGGACATTGTAAGTTTCTAGAAAACTTGGGAGAAATATTTAAATCCAAATTTCTGTCTGACAGTACAATGTATATAAACAGCTTCACTCCAATAAAAGGGAAATAACTCTTAAAATGCACAGTACACAACTTCAGCACAGTATGGATAGCATGAACAATGTTTGCTATTATTTAATTCATACTTGGTTAAGACTATATACAACATATAATTATATGAAAATAGAGCTTATTCTACCCGTATAGCATTAGATTTTTACATATTTAACATTCTACATCTGATTTAGTTTTCAAAAGATTCCATATATTTCATGTAGTTAAGTGTGTAATGGATATTTTAAAAGCTTTGTTAGAAGCATTATTTATATATATGTATATTTTTTGTGACAGAAAAACATGTCCACTCCTATGAGGACAGAGGGTATGGATAACTCCAGTAGTATAATCCTACCTTACTACGACCAGGACACCAAAATCATGTACCTAGCAGGCAAAGTATGTTTTCATGATGCATCTCAAAATCATTGTAATACAAGACTATGTACAATCTGAAATGAAATTCTTGAATAGGTTCATGATAAAATTTTGAGAGACAAGTTTTATTGTTTCGTAGGGGGATAGCAATATTCGTTACTTTGAGATAGATGATGAGGACCCATACACACATTATCTCAACTCCTTTATCACATCTTTTCCTCAAAGAGGATTTGGTAAGTCTTTGGTACTTTAATGTACAAGCATGTGCCTTAATACTTACATGTACTTGTTGGATATAAAGTTAGAAAACATTGTCATAGGTCTATTAAAAAACAATCTGAGAATAAATTCAAAAGTCAAGAGTGAATTGCAAGTAGTCGCTCCATTTTCAAAGTTGTTGCCTTAATATTTTTTTTTCCTTCTTACCAAGGAAGATATATCAGAATTCATAACAACTATAACCATAATTTAAAACATTTTCCATGAAAGTACATGTATGCTGGTACACATGGTTAAACCATAGACGTAAAGCTTGCTTTATATATTTGTAGGTGTGATGCCAAAGCGAGGCTGTAACACGGAGAAGTGTGAGGTGATGAGGTTCTACAAACTACACGCCTCAAAGAATCTCATAGAACCTCTGTCTATGATTGTACCTAGAAAGGTATAAATAGAAATGTAACTGTGTAATGATATAGAACCTCTGTCTATGATTGTACCTAGAAAGGTTAATACAGTCAACTGTAATTTAAATGCATATTAAGCCAACAAATCGCTATGATCTACATTTTCTTCACTAAAATGGTATTTTGAGAAATATATATTCATTTGTACAGTACCATAAAGGCAATTCTTAATAGTATTTTTATTGCAGTCCTCCGTTTTCCATGAAGACATTTACCCCCCTACAGCTAGTCTCATCCCCTCCCTGTCAGCTGATGAATGGATCTCAGGACAGACAAGGGGTCCCATACTTATGTCTATGCTGGTAAGTCTTGTGGTGGATCTTATGGTTAGTGTCAGGGGTGGATATCAGGTCAAACCAGGGGACCCATACTTATGTCTATGCTGGTTAGTTTTATGGAATGAGTATCTGGACAGGTGAAAAAAAGATAGTGTCAATGAAAAACTTTGTTACATTTCTGTGAATACAAGAAAAATATCAAAAGTATGGTTGTATAAGAATTTTGAATGATGTAAGTTTGTTAAAACTGATATGTTACTTGACAACTTACGTATTTATTTTTTTTATTCTTTCTTCAGGATGGACATGTAACCAATTCACCCAAAGTAACCACAGCCAAAGCAGCCCAGAATAAGGTACCTAGTGATACAATGGTTAAAGACAAATTAAATCATTGAATATCCCTGAAAAAAAAACCTTACAGACATATTTATACTATATTTGCTTTGAATGTCATGAATTGCATTATATACAAATGCTTAATTGTATATTATTTTGAATGACAAAACCAGCCCATGTGTAGTTCATCTGAACCATTTTATTTCTTGATTGGCAGTGCTATAAAAACAGGTCTAAATCAAAAGATATATAGATATATATTTGTACATGCATGGATAATCAATATTTTCTTTTTCACATGAAGTTTCTACAAGCTAAAGACTCTATATAATTTCAAATTTTTCCTTAGGCAAATAAAGTGTACACTTTACATCCTTTTTTCCCCACCTTTTCCAGGACAGTAGTTTATCTCAGGCTCCGACCATCACGACATACAAAGCTGTGAACCGGCCCCGCCCTGAGGGTAGTGTCTCCACTCAGCCCTACGCCGGGGAAACTGCCGGGGTAACCAATCACAGAAACATCCCGGCTTCACTGCGGAACATCAAACAACTCAGCACCAATGAGGAATTTGTCTCAATCAAGTAATTTGCATGAATATAACGAACCATTCAAATTATTTTTGTCTTAAAGGAATTCTTTGGCAGCAAAAGATTTGTTTTGATTTAGTTATGAAAGCATTATTCTTTTTGTAAATCATCCTACTTGTGACACATTTTCTTCTAAATGGTTATTTGATATTTGTGATGGAGATTAGAATTTTTACAAATATTTGTTATGACTACATAAAAAAGACATTTTGATTAATACAAATACTTTCTATTATCTCAAATCCAATGGGACTGAGTTAAAACTTCAATTAAAGTGTTGCTTGGAAATATCAAGGTTAAAAAAAAAATAGTGGTTTTTACTTCCAATTTATTTCTATATTTTCATGCTATTGGTTATACAGTAAAACTCATTTAATAGAGTAGAACAGGTATATTGCAAATTTACAGATAAAGTGAAGTTGTCTTGGATCCCCAGCTTTATAAATTTAACAAATTCCTTATACAGGTATAACAAATTGTGGATATAGCGAAGTTAACTTCATAAGTCCAAGTGACTTCATTTTAACTGAGTTTTACTCTATCTTTTTTAAGATAACAAAGTTTAACTGTAAATATTTTGCATTTCAGTGATAACACTTCCAATGGAGTGGACCCAGGTCCTGTCAGTCCTGCGGATCAGAGCACGATAAAGAAGGTCTGGTCCCCCTCCTCTCCAAAACCAAGCACTAATGGCTTCTCTGGAGGAGAAAGTGATGTAAGTTATCTCCCCTTTACAGTGGAACTCTTCTGTCAGTGTTAGGAAAGCATGATAAAATGTTGTTATCTCAGATGGTTGAATGTTGTGGTACAGTGTTTTGCTACTGTGTGTTGTGAACAAGTTATATCATAGAATATTTTTATACAGTCAAAACTTTATTAACTCAAGGTCAAGCAGTTTGACCCAGCAGTGTTTTTCCTATGAACCGGCAACCGGACAAATTGACCACTTCAATTGACAAAAATGCTGCTTTGAAATAAAAATTTGTTGTAAGGTCCACAGAGATTCTGTTCATAAACCTCATGCCCTAGCCTGTTACACATGATCTCTTACCCTTTTCTTTGAAATAAAGGGAAAACACTGAGCCAGATATATGATTTAGGTATGTGGGAAGTTCAACAGTACTGCATGTAAATTCAAAAGCATTATTCATGTTGTTGAATCAATGTGCCTGCCATCAGAGATTTTCAAATGTAAGAGAATATCTTGATAAGATACAAAGACTTTTACTGAATATAGCATAACCTTACATAACTATTAGGCACACTTAAAAAGAAGTTCTTTGAAAGAAGCTATTTGTTGAACTAAAGGGCTACGTAGAGAAATAAATTGACATTTAATAAATAGGCTGAAGCACATGTGTATATAATCAGTCTTATTGCTTATCCGGTATACAGGGCTCGACATTAACGCTTTTCCGCTTGTCCAGTACCAGTGAAAAGAAAATACGGAAAAGTGAATACAACTGGGCACTTGTCCAATTGGACAAGTACATTTTAATGTAAGGGAATCTATAAAATAATAAAAAGAACGACTGTTGACAGCTTATCAGTAGTTTCAAGACAAAAGATGTACATAAAAACCAAACTTCGATCCTGATTTGTATCGCTATATCAATATTGATTTCATATTCAATCGGGATCGAAGTTCACTAATTGCATGCTACTGAAACAAAAGTCATGGAAGATACAAACCGAAGTTTGGACTGTTCGATGTCGTCAGGGTCTTTTGTGGACATTTATGTTATTGTCAGGACAGAAAGCCTATATTAAATTTCATTTCGTAAATGTGTTTGATGCATTTATCAATATGTTACAAATCAATCAAGCACAAGTCATGTGTAATGGACTTTATTTTAATTTTCAAATTGAAACTATTCGATCTTTATCTAAAAATTTTTCGGACAAGTGAAGTTGAAGTTCAGACAAGAAAATGTCTTGGTCACTTGCCCAAATGGACAAGTAAGAAAAAAAGTTAATGTCAAGCCCTGGTATATAAATTTTTAAAAAACACAAATATCCCTTATTCAGTGCATTTATTCATCCAGTACTTACTAATGACCACATTTACAATTATTACATAATTCATGTATGCATATTTGAAAAGCAAAAAGAGTAAGTGCATGCACATTGCCACATGCAATGATAACAAGTACATGTAGCAGAGTAAATAATATTCTATATGTGAATGTACATGTATATACCTAGAGGTCTAATATAGGAATCGATATATATAAACAGATGTACCAGCACAGATTTGGTCGAGATTTTTTTGAGGCTTACCTGATAAGACGAGATGATGGGAATGCATCCGCACATGGTTGTCATAGTAACAAAAATAGTCATGTGAGTTCATGGCTTCATGGCTTATACCTTTAAAAATGTGTATTTTAAATTATATAGGTTTGGAACTTAAAAAAAACAACACTGTAACATACTTGCCTAGTAACTGCTCAGATGGATTGGGAAAAAAAGAAAATAAATGTTTAAAATTAGAGATGGAATCTTAATACCTGTTTAACAGAAAAATGTAAATTTGAAATGTAATAAGGCAGTTACTGGGTTAACAAAAATTTAAAAAATATAGATTGAAAAATATTTAAAATGTCTGAGCATTGTTTTAACAACAGTCTTAAATCAGTCTTTAATGATTAAAAAATATATAAAACTCAATCGAAAGGGTGACTAATTAATATAAAGCTATCTAATTAAAAATTTCTTTAATAATCTAAAATTAAACCCAGTTTTTGTTGCTATGTACAGCATTTTACACTGCTGGTGAAGCAAAAAAAAAAAAAATTTGTGTAACATTTACCCTGCCAGCCTTAGTTAATTAGAGCAACTTTACTTCTCTGCTGAATTAAAAAATCCTTTCTATTCTAAGCTGCATATATGTATCTAAAATAACCACTGCTATCATGTATTATACAATTAGTAAATTCTATTTTATTTCTAATACAAAAAGTATATCAGATTATCTGTCTTATCCAGATGCTATTTTCTGTAATAAGAATATAAACATGTACTAATTATAAGACATTAAAAGATTAACACATCAACATTTTTAATAAAATGACATACAGCCTACTTGATTCTTATAAAAACTAGTGTTCATTTTTTTCTATTCATTTTTAAAATAAAATATGCCATGATATAAAGAAAAATGCAATCAAAATTTCTTATAATAAAATGTTTGCTATAAATATCTGTAGCAAGACATATATGTAAAGGCCAAGTAAATCATTTTAATTTCAACAGGAGGTAGTGCACATACCCTTTAATTGTTATGTGTTTAACTTAGTATGTTTATGAATTTGTTTTTTATGTATGAATAATTTGGTTATTATGAGCACTTGTAATATAAATATATACTTATAATACACTGTAATATTTATGTATTGATTTACATGTGATGTAGTAAATGTATCTTTAATCTCTCCAATTTTCCTGTTCTGCTGAGGAAATCCTTGTTATGTCTTTGTTAGAAAATATTTTCCTTCTTTTAACACAGATTCAGTAAATTCAAATCTTAAAAAATTAAACTGGGACAATTTGGAAATGATGTTTAAATTCTTTATTATATTTTTGTCTTTCTGTCATTTTCTATTGCTTGTTAGAGACTTATGTATATAAAGAAGATTGAAGTAGTACACTTGAAACCATCAAGCCACATGATCTGTAAAATTTCAGAATTGCAGTTTCAAAACTGAGTAATTCCAAATGAATATGATTTTGATCAAATAACACTCACCCCACTCCACCCTTTCCCTTATATTAAAAATCGTTTTTTCTTTATTTTACTCTTTTTGAATTTGTTTTTATTTTTTTTTTAAATTAAGTTATCCCCCCTCAAAAAAGGAAGAAAACCAATCTCTCATTCATTAAACTGATTTGTGACGGAATGTGTACTGAAATGGGACTAAATGGCAGAGCTCCACAATTCAGTGACTTTTCCCGTCCTTGTAGCCACAATTCAGTTCATCAGGACTAAATGGTGTAAATTTATCCAGAGTAAATCTATTTTTAAAGTATAAATATACCGGGGTTTCCTCATTCAGATATTTCATTTAGAACCATAGATGAGTAATTTAGCAATATAGCATTAATACTGTATTTGTGATATATGTAGTATATTTAATATATTATTTCCTTTTACACTTTAGTATTATGTATTTTTCACCATTGATTTTGATATGGGTTTTGTGAATGTGTAGATTTGATGTTAGTATGCATTTGCCATGGTGGTATGAAATAGACTAAACTGAAATATATCTTTTTAATTTTTTTTCAACATCATATAAAGTTAATGAGGTGAAACTCACAATTTTTTTTTTTTCTGAAATTATCAAAAAACTTAATATAAAGTTATTTTGTAAATACATTATGGAAAATAATTGTATGCAAAAAAGAAACACTATATACGGAAAGTTCAATGTGCAAATTTACTTTCAGGAAAATTATTTTTTTTCGCACATTTCCTTTAATTTTATAAGACGATGAAAATTATTAATTGATTTACCAATATGTAACCAAAACAGAAATCACAAAATCCATATCATAATTTGTCTTTTCCCCCTGTCTCTGTTATTTATATGTCTCTTTGCTTCTGTGTGTTCACCATTATGTACTCATTTTGCTTTGGTTGCCCTGGCAACTGTTTTTCTGTGCTTTGTAGAGTGTAACTCACGTGAAAAAGGTGTGGTCCGCCCCACAAACCCCCGTATCACCGCTGTGGTTTGGGGACTCCCCACCAAACGAGGCAGAGGTGGGTAGTTAGTTGGTAATTAACCAAGTGTTTGCTGTTTTTTTTTTTACACCTTTCCCTCCTTTTTTTCCCACAATGACTGGAGAGTGATGCAATAAATGGTAGTTTCTTATAGCAGCAAAGCCTGATTATCTCCCCATTCTATCCTCCTTTTTTATCTCCCCTTTTATCCTACCCTCTGGGAAAAAAAAGATACCCAGAGATGCTTAATGTATTATTGTAGACCATGGTGTATTCAATCAGAATCATTTTCAATTTTAGATCAAACAATCAGATAACCTGATTTACATTTTTTTTTCTTCGAAATTCCCCTAATTTGTGTATGATTATTGTTAAAAGAAAAAGTAAAAACAGAAGGAAAATTAGCTTTCTTTTTAAAACAGGCTTTGTTGATGATGATGATGTGATGAGTTTAGAATGATTGCGTGTGCAGTGAATTAAAAGCTAGAGGTGTACATGTACCAGTAGTAAATTAATACATATAAACAATATTAATGCCATGTCACTGTTTTGAAAGTAAAAAAAGTTTTTAATCCCGTATTGTGCATGTCATCTCATGAAGTATATATTTACATTGATAATAGTATAGTCTATATATCACTGCATGAAAACTAGTACAGATACTTTAACACATATTCATTCAGTATACATCTTCAAATCTTTAAAAAAGGAAATTCCTTTTTTTTTAATAAAAACAAATCTTGATGATCTTACATCAGTAAGACAAAAAAAAAAAGAACTGTTACTTATACAGTCTAAAAATAAGGTGGTTCAAGAGATTAATACTTGCAAAGTCAAAGTTATATACTAGACAGTTATCAGTTACCTTTCAAAGACGTATTAGCAATGTCTATTGTTTTAATTTTTTTTTAATTGTGGATCTTAAGCATAAAAAAGAATCTGAGTGTCCTTTAATGTTCACAGAGAGCTTACCAACTGTCCTATTATAGCATCTTAATTGGTCATTGGGACTGTAGAAAAATGTATTCCTGTCGGGGTACAGTTATCCTCACATACAGAAATAAAAAACGAGGGGTGGGGGTGGGGAGGGACATGAAGAATTCAAAAGACTTCTTTCGACTCAGGAAGTTCTTAAAAGCAAGTTGGACTGTTTAGTTATATTTATTAGATCTATGTTGAAGGTAAGTAAGCAAAAAAATTGTCCAGAAAGAAAATCTTTTGTTCTGACTGATATCTCCAACAGCATGTATTTACTTGTATTTACATGTGTGGCATATAATTAGGTTGTGGTGTAAATTCATCCATGTGTAACCAAGATTTACTAACAGGGAATGTGCTATCTCAGCTGCAGAACTGCAGCCTTATGGTTTTGTATTTTAGTCTTTGACTATAACGCTACAGATACTGTAATGTAAAGAAGTGTGTAATTTACGGCACAAGATTCTTTGCGCACAGTAGAGGCAACTATAAAGAGTTGAAAGGAGGATAAAATATACATTTTGGTCTAGAGTCTAAGAATGTGTCTGGAATTAGGGGGTGGAAAGTATTTGATTTACCAATGTTGGAAAGGGGAGAAATTTTCCAAAACAGTGCGCAAAAAATCTTGCCCCGTATATTGCACCTTTTGTGCATTAGGGGACCTGTAGCATTATGGTCAACGTATAACAAAACCATAACATGACAGTTCTGCAGCTAGTGCTATCGATGTTGTTGGCCTGTATGCAGTTGTTGCATAATGTAGTATGTTATGTCTTCTATGTCATATTCTGCCAAATAACATATTAAGATAGGCATACAATTAGGTACTTTATACAGGCCTGTTTCAATGCTAGAAGTTTTTTTTTTAATCGGAAGATTTGAAAATTTAATCTAGGTTGACACATATTGATTTTTAGTAATTTTTGATACTATTTACACAAGGGTAATTCACGTATACAATTGATGCGTATTAATTCTTCAAAACAATATAAAAATCTTTGCCTTCTTTCAGGTCAACCTAATTGATACATTGCATTATAAACTTATTTTCCTATGTTTATATTCCTAGCTGAGAAAGGCCTATTTCAAACAGCTGGAAGAGATATATAGCCTAAAGGAGCAGATATCCCTGAAGGATAAAAGGATCAGGCAGTTAGAGGAAGAGATATCTATGTTAAAGCTACCAGTTACTAGAGATGATACAGGGCCAGGACAGAGTGACTGTTAACTACAGTGGCCACTAAAAGTCTGTATAGATATCACTGTTAAAGTTACCAGTCAAGAGGGACGACAAAGGGCCAGGCTAAAGTCACTGTTAATGACTGTGGCCACCTTAAGTCTGTATATTATATGCTAGTCCTTATTTCTGCATTATATTACTCCTGCCAGTACGAGTGTGTGCAATTCTGTTTTATGGATCCAGGCTATGTACATGTATAGGAAAGCAATGTACCTTGGTTTTATTGAGTGTTATGAGCAGTAGAGCTTCAGAGGTGACAGAGATTTGGTTCTTTGGATCAGTTATTGAAGGTTTTGGTTGAATTGTGTTCATTTTCTGCATAAAAGGGACAATCAATTTCAATGGACACTGGAGCATATATATTCAATGGACAGTTGAGCAGACATTTGAATAGCCAAGTCAAAGTGTGTTGCACTGTGACGTGTTGCCTGATATTTTATGGAAGCTGTGCAATGACATAAACTAGTTAACATTGAAATGTAGAACTTTTAAAATTTAGTATGGCTTTTATTGTTTTCTTGAAGAACCTTATTTGTAGGGAAGTTGTACATGTAGATGGCATGACATTAGACACATAGGATACAAATGGATTGATCTTTGTAACGTGAACATCAAACTTAAGACAAGATTTGATTCTTGTAACATAACATGATCATCAAATGAAGAGTGATTTCAATTTCCAGGTTGATCCTGCAAATAAAACGAACTGATTCTCTATGGAAAATTGTTCATTTACAAAACAAGTGATATTGTTAAAATATATGAATGTGCATTCCATAAACCTTTTGTGAAGATTTTACTTTTGCTTTTTATATGAACATGTTTATTGTTGCATTTGGAAAGTGCAGGTGTTTTTCTTATGTAAATGTATATATTAAAATGCATATGTTATATATGTTAACCTCGGAATCAATAATTACATGTAGTTAAGTAACACAATACATTACCAATTTTTAGTGCTCTTTCTTTTTATGTGTTCTGCTTTAAAATATTCCTTTTAAAATTATTCCACAAATACATTCCAACCTCTTTAAGTTTGCGGGGCCAAGAAAAAAACTTATAGATTCAGGAAGTTAAGATAAGAAGGGGAAACAAATTTTGAAAAGTGGATTGGAATTTGAAATAATTTTGACAACGTTCAGAAGTATTCATGAAGTAGTTTAAAAATTTTATTAAATTATATCTATAATGATAACACTGGTTTTGTTTTCAATAAAGCTGTTCACATTTATATAACTGAAAAAAACATTATCCTAGCATTTCTTTATCATGACATGTACAGCACACCTGAATAGTTGGTTGTGCAAACAGTGCTTCATTGTACTTAACCTGTGATTTTTATGATTATACACTGTATTTAAATTTATACATTGTTGATGTGCTTTTTAATCAGTATTTTTTTATCATATGTAAGAGAAACTCACTTTATAATATTTGAGCACAATTTTTACGCCTTTCTAGCATAGAACATGATGCTCTGAGGTCAAAACACAGCAAGCTACCAAAATACACACTGACAATAGCTAGTTCACAAATCCCTGTCAGTTTCGTCTTGAGTGTTCTTTTTTACACTATAGAGGACGCTAATTGTACTTCAGATGAATATAAACTTGCTAACATATACAGAGCCATGTGCATTTATTGACATAATAGTGCTTACAATTTTAAAATTGATTCTGCAGCAATACATATCTGCACAAACTCTGATTTTCACCATTAAGTTAGTATTAAAATCATTTCAGCTTGTTCTTCGCATGTTTTAAGGTGATAAAGGCTTCCAATCAATTTAAATCAATGCATTATAGTTAGAAAAAAACTATGGACATTTAATTTGCAGGTGCATATTTAACGTGTTCAAGTTGATGCCGTAAATATAAATATGTTGTGGGCATTTCTGATATTTTTTTCAGGATGGAAGTGTGGTTTTTTGTCAGGTTAACGTAGTGATTCAGAATTGTGATTATAGAAGTTCTAGTAGATCTGTACCTTGAAATCAGAGTGAATTTTTTTTTTATAAATTTGTTAAGATATGAGCGTGTTTCTTTTCTGATTTTACCAGATTTAAATAAAGATCTGTGAACATGAGTTTGGGGTAAAGGATATCTTATCAAGTTTTGTTTTCATACACCTGTCTTTGGCAACAAAATACACCCTAACCAACTGTAATCTTAAACTCTTTTCTAGTAATTCTGAAGAATTTGTCTTGATGTCTACATACATCATAACATCCATTTTTTTTAAGTGTGTTTTCCGAGAGGTATCGGTATAAGGACATTCTCTTTTCTTATTCGGTAATAAATAGACAAGTGTTTAATTTTTGAGAAATAATATTTCTTACATCTTCTTAATTTTGTTCCAGTTAATCATTTCTTTATTAGTTTTATTTATTTTCTTTATATGGACACCAAATTAACTTATATGTAGCTATTGTACAATATTATAATTGATTTTGTGTGCCGGGTAGCTGGCATTTCATAAATTAAATTAACTTGTAGCAAAAATATACAGATTAGAACTTTTTTTTGCATTGAATTAAAATAGTAGTTCATATATTCCTTTTTACTATACATGTTCTAACGGTACTTCATATAAGACAATGTAATATATGCATGTATCTTCACTGTACATGTATTAGAATCTCTGTCCAAGCGTTGGCTAATATTTCTTTATTTTAAGATCTGTCTCAATTTGACAATTATCATTTATTTAATGGTTTGTAGTATCAATTTTTAAGTCTTTGAAATTTTGTATTTTTTTTTTTTTTTTGCATTTGAGCCTTAGTTTTTATTCAAATTTAAAAAATATATATATTTACATGTATGTCAGATTTGATTTTTTTTTCCTTTAATCCTGTAATTAGTAAATTAGTCTCATCCAAAACAGGCATTAGGAAAGGATTCGATTTTAAGATAATGATTGAGACTTGTGCATCACAATTTATGCAATTTTTATATCGTGTACCATTGGACTATAATCAAAATATATACAGGAAGTTAAGATATAGAGACGTTCTTTAGATTTAGTTTAAGCCAATAAATGTGGAATTCATTTTACAGTCTAACAATAAAATTTTATGCTTATGGAAAATGCTGTTTTATGAACATGTATATATAGTGTCAAAATTCCTTAAACTAGACATTAAATGTTTTTTTGTTTTGTTTTTTCGATTTTTTGCCTATAAAAGGCAGATGTGATGTTATTGAACATAAATTTGAAAAAGGAAGTAAAAAAACAGAAAAAATGTCCTTTTCTGGATTTACTGAATACAAAATGTCTGGAAAAAATATACAAAGTTATATAAACATTTTCTAGTTCTTAACCAATTGAAAAATGTACAGCAGATTCGTATTTAATTTCCATGTCATTATAAAACTGATTTACACTGACTTGTTTAATTTTGCAATAGATGACTATTGATTGCATACATATTTTACACAATATTGTTCAAAGTGTTTTGCTTCATAATTGTTTAATTATGACAATAAAACTAATAAAGACAGTAATGTTTTCTTTTTCTCTAAAATGACTGATTGTTGAAGCACAGTTAAAACTTGATTGGGAGACAACATGAATTTCATGATACTAGTAAATGAGGATTGGAGATATTCAAGTAAAATTCGGCATATCCATTGTATGTCGAGGATAGGTTCCACTGTAAAAGTATATAAATGAGTGACGGACACGAATGTTAACATAAGGTCTTATAGATATGAACCCTGTTAAACAAGAATTTCTACAGAACCTGATAAAATATTGATGAATGGATTGTTAAATGATTTTGAAAACTTCAACAATGAAATATAGGCAGATAACGAACAGTATTTAAGCTGTGAAATCCCCTGCCGACCGGTCACAACCGCCTTGTGCTCCTTATCATGACGGGGAAATGGCGGGAAAAAATCCGTCCTCAAGCCAGTGTGTAAGTAATGGACTAAAATTAGCATGAAAAACGCCAGTCAGCATTTGACGTGTTCAAGTTGAGTTGATGGCGATATGTACATGTATAAATATATTGTGGGCGTTTCTGATAGTTTTCACAGATTGGAAGTGTGGTTTTTGGTCAGGTAAACATTGTAGTGATATAGAATTGTGATTATAGGAGTTCTAGGCCTGTAGCAATGAGTAAAATTATTTTGAATTTGTTTAGATATATCTTTTTCACTTTTACCAGATTATAGATCTGTGAACATGAGTTTTGACTGTAGAATCTTAAATTATGAAGTATCCATATCATAGTTTTGTCTTCAGCTTTTTCTCTTTAACTATGTACACATTGAATAATCATTTGTTTTATAATCATTCAGTAATCTTGAAGAATTTGTGTTAAGGTGTTTTTAAGATATTTTTTGCTTGAAATATATAGGAAAAATCTTTTAAAATCTTCTCAAGAACCACTGGGTCAGGAAAGCTGAAACTTAATGTGGAAGCATCCTGTGGCAATGTACATGTAGATACTTAATTGTTCAAATAATGACCCCTGGGGTAGAATGGGGCCACGATAGAGAATCATTGAAATATGTAGGAAAAATCTTCAAAAAGCTTCTTCTGAAGATCCACTGGGCAAGTTAATTGTAAAAACCACAGGGAAGAGCGGAGCTACAATAAGGAATCCAAGTTTTCCATTCAAATATTTAAGAAAAAATAATAATATTCCCAAGAACCACTGAGCCAGAAGATCTGAAACTTCCATGGAGGCATCCTCTAGAAGTGTAGATTTGAAATTCTTAAGATGTTGACCCTGGGGGTTGAGTGATGCCATCAAAGGAAATTCAAGTTTTATATTAAGATATATAAGAAAATCTTTGAAAATCCTCTCAATAACCATTGACCAAGAAAAGTTGAAACGTATGTGGAAGCATATTGGGGTAGTAAAGAATCAAAATTGTTCAAATGACACCCCCCCCCCTCCAGGCAAGGGGGGGGGGCGCATTTGGGAATTCAGATTTTACATTGAAATATAGAAGTTGTTTTTTTTTAACTTTCTTCTCAAGGACCATTGAACCAGAAAAGCCGCCAAAAATTATATGAAAACATTCTGGGGTACTGTAAAGCTTAAATCATTAAAATTATTACCCCCGGTTGTAGTGAAGGGCCGCAATAAGGATTCGCAGTTGTACATCGCGATAAATATAAGAAAAGAAATTAAAAATCCTCTTCCCAAAAACCACAGGGCCAGAAAAGTTGAATTTTATTTTGCATCCTTGGATAGTGTAGATTCTAAATTGTCGAAATCATGACCCCTATAGGGGTAGTCCGACTAGAGGTATATGGCACTTCGAATCTGGAATAATACCAATAGATAAACCTTTAACTTACATTTGTTTGGTGGTCAAATATATTTTCACTTGTCTTTAGTGTGTAAAAAAAATTCCAAGTTTTCTAAAAATTCAATTAACAAGTTAAGTGCTTTAAAGGCACATTAAATGACTATGTTGAAGTAAGTATGGTAGATTGTGAAAAAAAAGTCAGACAAATATACCTATATAATATAAAACACAGTTAATAAAGAAATATAGAATTTTGTCAAGTAAAGAGTTACTATGAACCCCCAAAATATAGTTATTTCCAATTTGCACTCATCATTTAGGCGATGTAGTGTTAGTAGCGTATATACTTCTGTTGTTTTAGTTCAACAATGGTAATATTTCACGTGAACACTCGGAATCAAATAGGTCTACACTAGGGATGTCAAAATTGTCAATAATTGATATTCGAATATTCGATAGGAGTATTCGAATATATTCGAATATTCGATGAAATAAATACATCTTGCATTATACAATATATATCTTCACTCTCCTGTTAAGCAGTATAGGTTTTATGCATTATTTTGGAATACAAACTCAATGGACATGTAGAGTTTGGTAAATGCACCGAAATTATATACATTTTTTTTAAATTATCATTATGAAGAGTATACATCCAAAATGTAATTTTTTTTTTTGAAAATTCAAAGATTCTTAGGTATGTTCCAGTTTAATTGATCGTCTTACTATATTCTACACTCATAACTCCTACAAATTTATACCAAGCAGAACAATTATCTAACGGAGAAAAATTAAAAGCAATTATCTTCTGCGAATTAATTTCCTGATAATTATTTTAATGATATTTATATAAACAAGGGATTGATGTGTTTACTGTTAAGCTGTGTCTTAACAACAATACAAGCTAATAGTAAGTACTGGGCACTATTATACCACTAATTAAGTGAACAAATTACTCTAATAGATACACTATTCAAACTTTTAAGGTAATCTAAGAGGAGTGTCTTTTAATTTTGTACTTTGATTCAATTTCTAATAAGACTTGCTAGGGTTTTCTCTCTTTAAAATGCTTGTACACTTAAAAACGAATATTCGAATCATAAAGAACTATATGCGGTATTAACCAACATTTGCCCCCCCAAATCAAACTTTGATGGAGTAATATTTAATTAAGTCCTTAAACAGAGGAGTATATGCTGACTTCAAAGCACTGAATAATTTCATAAGTAATGACGTCATATGTACGTAATGACGTCACAAATATGACGTAAATTTCAGTTTTTTATGAATTTTGCAGAAAAATGTACATATTTCGTCGATATTTTAAATGAAAGTCACCAAGCGCATGTGTGTTCAGGATTAATATTTTGATATAATGTGTAGAATGATAATATCAATGAAATATGTCAATATTGTTCCTGAACACACATGCGCTCTATAAATTCTAAAGCTATAATTGTTGAAATTTTGTCCATTTTGTCCTCTTTCTGAAAAAGGATATAAAATCGGACTAGTATGTGACGTCATAAAAACAGAAATTGTGAATACACTGCTCTGGATCTATAATATTTTCTGTTAACTTATATTTCTCGTACAATTTATTGAATTCAGCACATTTCAGGAAGTTTTCAAAATTTGACTTTTGTGGGGGCAAACATATGCAATATACCGCATATTGTTCTTTATATTCGAATATCAACTCATCGAATGAATATTCGAATATTCGAATATTCGTTGACATCCCTAGTCTACACACATGTATAAATTGCATCTTTGTTTTTTCCCAGGAAATATTCATCTTCTGAAAGAACCTTTTGAATAAAAAGTAATTTTTGAAAGAAAGTCAATTTTTACATTTATTACCTTTTTTTCCTCGTGAAAATACAATCCATGACATTTGCAGAATTGTGAGAACATTATGTCGAATAGTCATGTACAAAAATGTATGATTTTCCATCCCTAGCCTTAACAAACACAAAAATGCATAACTATGGTAAATCCAGAATTATTTCAAAGAGACAATATATCTTTTCATTATTTTTTGAATCACAAACAGGTAGTCTGGACCACATCTCGATATGTCAACGGTATAAATCTACAAAGTCATGGCTCTATTTCAGTTCATAAACTCTAATCTTCTTATATTCACTGCATACACAGCATACATTTCTCTTTTCATTCATTGCTACAAAGACTGGTTTCGACATATAACTAATCACTCTAATGACTTCTCCAGCACAGGACAAAACGTGAATATTCCTACTCTGTATACCAGCAATAAAAATGTTTTCAGCATTATCCTTTTCCAGTCCATATGGTTCCTTCAGATTGGATGCTTTGTATTCCCATAGAGTATTGCCATTATCATTCATTGCAATCACAGTGTTTGTCTCCTTGTTACTGTAAACTAGATCTACACTGTTCAACACAAGAAGGTGAATAACACAAGAACCCGTTTTATATTCTTTGATTTTGTACCCATTTTTATCTATCTTTATAATTTTCTTTCCACATGCCACATAGAGAGTGTCATTTTTACAAGCTATTCCATAAACGTATATATCTAGCTTAATATTCCGTTTTTCTGTGTAGTCATCAGATGAGAAAACCATAATAGATTGTGTGTTAAAGCAAGTAACGAACAATTCATTCGCATTTTCCGCGACTGCAAAAGGGTGTCTCAACCCTTTTATTGTTTTTATGCATTTGAAATCCTCGTCATATACATTACACTGACCTTGAAGCTTATGATTTGCAACAATAAATGTGCCATTTGAAAGAAAAGTCCCACTGCAAATATTGGAATTAGATATATTAAGTTCCTGTTTAAAAGACAATTCTTTTTCATACACACGAGTCACATCTTTTTCCATACCAAAAGCTTCTATCTGTGACAGATTTTTCATGTCTTTAATTTGTTGTGGCATTTCGGATTTGTTTTCTAATATGCTTATATATTTTTCTGTGAACTTAAAACAATTCATATGCTCTTGAGTGGCTCTTGCTGCGTAATATTCCACCAGTAATTGAACATCACTACCCTTCTCCATGGCTCTTTCAACTTTATCACCGCAAGATTTTGCACATGAAATTCCGTCAGTGACAATCTCTAGACTTTTTCTCAACTTTTCTTGGCTAGTTTTACCTGCCTTAGATATTTCTTGTAAAAGATCATCTTTCAGCTTTTCCAAATGTTCAACTAGAGTTTGCAGTTCTTTTTCTGTTGTTTCTGTCATGCTGTCGACACTATCTTCTATTTCTGTTATGTTTTTCTCCTGTCTTGCCTTTGATCCAGTCAGTTTCTTCTCTAGATTCTTTACTTCAGTTAATAGACCGCTAAGTTTTCCACTTTCACGTAAAGATTTAGCAGCTACTTCAACAGTATCAACGCTGTCACATTTTCTATGCTCTGTGCTAACACACATTGTACAGCATAGTGCTTCGTGGTCGTTGCAAAATAGTTCTATCTCTCTGTTTTTATGTTTTGAACAGGTTAAGTTTGAAACCGAATCGGAAAAAATGTTAGATGATTTCATTTCACTTAGTTGGTATACCTTATGGCTCTTTGTGACCAAGAGTTTCCTATGACATTTTGAACAAACTTGACATAAATTCTCCATACACGTGGCACAATAGGCGGTAGCCTCTTCTTCCTCGTTGTCTCTAAGACAGGACTCGCATTTCAACTGGTCACCTTTCTCAAGAATTTTTTCTAGTAGGTAATTTTCGGGAAAAAAGTTTACAATATCCTCGGGCTTATCAAATGTGCCTTTACAATGAATGTATTCACGGCATAGCGGACAGTGAAAACCCAAACGAGGTTCCGTAGACGTACGCACGCTGGCAATGTAGGATGATAAACAACTATGACAAAACGAGTGAGAACAAGGAAGATACCTCGGTTTTTTGAATTTCTCAAAGCATATTGAACACAGAGTCACATCCTCCACGATGGAAATTTCGTCTAATGAGGTTGCCATAGTCTGTTTTGATTGCTGGGATTTTCTCCTACTTTCGATATTGTGACGCCTGACGTCATGTATGCAGTATGGAAACACAAATGGCGATAATTTGATACGATCACGACAAACAGTAAGCAAAAGATATGGAGGCACTTTATAGACACTGCACACATTGTATTTGTTTGTGTAGCTATTTTTTTTTCAAGGTCACACCCCCTCTCTGTTTGAACCTGACACCTGCCCTCGAGCCCTCCCACTTTTCCAACACTGTCGGTTTGTTACAGAAGCCAAGCATAGAATTTGATTATTTCTCTACTTGAATCCTGGGCACATCGCGTACACCCTACATAATTATTCTAGTATAAGAATATATCTATATAGATTATCACGAGTACGTGTTTTAAAGCTATAATTATTACAAAATAAAATAATCAGGTCATGTAAAAAAAAAAACAAAAAAAAAACAAAAAAAAAAAAAACAAAAAAAAAAAAAAACAAACAACTGATGCATCAGATCAATTTTCAGGGTTTCTTCAAGTATCATTATGAAATTATAAAATTGATTTGAATTACAAAATAAACATTGATTAATGGAATTTGAGAAAATACAAATAAAAAAAATAAATGTGTCGAATCTTTTGAATGTTCATGATTAATATGGTTATTATACATGTTATAAGACGCTTTAACATTCTGCAATTTTTAAGCTCTAAGGCGTTATTCATTTATCTAGAATTGATTTGTAAACTTAAAAAAACAAACAAGGTTTCCTTTTGACCAAATCAGCTTTCCATTGTAAACACCCTTTGCACGATCTGCCTCTTTGTGAAAACAGTGACACTCATATATAGGATTCAATGAGTTATGGCATCAGGATTTAACATTGACGAAATCACCGTGTGTTCAATCTGCTTTGAAAAGTTCAAAATTCCGCGATATCTACCGTGCATGCATTCTTTTTGTCACGGATGTTTATCCTCTTACATTCTTACCGCATGTAAAGCTACGGAATCTCGTTTGGGTTTTAATTGTCCATTATGCCGTACGTTTATTCCTTGCATTGGAGAGACCAATACGCCAGAAACGTGGGCGGAACTCTTTCCTGAGAATGACATTTTGGAAAAATTATCAGTTAAACCAGAAATTACATTTTGTCAGGCGTGTTTGAGAGAAAATGAACAGGAGAATGCTACCGATTTTTGTTTATACTGTGTAGAACGTTTGTGTAAAATATGTACAAAAAGTCATAGAAGAGGACTGACAACGCTTGATCATGTGATGATACCAATAAAAGAGATGAATGGAATGTCTCTTACTCCAAAGGCCACTCATGGAAACAATTGTGCAAAACATCGAGATAGAAAGTTGGAATTATTCTGTAATGATCATGAAGCACTATGCTGCACAATGTGTGTGAGTTTGGAACATAGAAAATGTGACAGTATTAATACAATGGATACAGCTGCAACTAATGTAAGGAAATTATTGACCAAAAATTCCGAAAGATTATTGGAAGATGTGCAAATTCTAGAGAACAAATTATCTGATGCGAAATCGGAGCAAGAAAGATTTGTTGTTCAACTGAATAACACTGCCGATTTGTGTACAGAGACAACCGAAAGAGCCTTCGACAATGCCATTGATCATCTGCAAGGCTTAAAAAATGATTATTTAACAAAAATGTCTAAGGCTGTAAAGAAAAGTAAGGAGAAATGCGAGAAATGTTTAGACGCTTTCACTGACGGCATTCAATGTACAGATTTCTGTACAAGAAATATCGAGGGAGCTAGAAAAGAAGTGAACGATGTTAAATTGGTGAGGGCGTTTTATAAAAGCAGAAAGACATTAGATGAACTAAAACGTTACAAATTTAACCAGATTAGAGTAGATATTGTGGAAACAGAACCACCTATCCTGAATGAAATTATGAATTTGAAAAGTCTTCAGGAGGCAATCGTTGCCGAGTCAGAACTTGATGTTACATCTGACCTGAGGAAGATCCTGTTGTCTCTCGTTCATGAATTCAGCATAAACACGGGATATGTTCGCGACGGAACCTTTCTATCAAATAGAGAGTTTATTCTCTCTACCAGAAAAAGTCACCGTTCAGGAACTTCCGATGAAACATGTTTTGTATACAGCAGTAGTTGGGAATGTATCAGAGAAATAAAATCATCATATAAACCTTTTGGTATTTTACAGAAGGGGAATGAAGTGTATTTAGGTTGTACATCTTCAAAGGTTATTGAGGTGAGGTCAATTCGTACGTACGAAAAGATAAAGACAATACGTGTACCAAAAGACATCTATGGAATAGCATCTTATCACAACTTTCTTTTCGTAGCATGTGACGACAAAATTTTACAGCTAAACCAGTATGGAGTGAAAGTCAAGGAAATCAACACAGGGGCCAGTGTAAAAAATATTATACTCATAAAGGACGACATTGTCTACAGCAACAGAAAAACGCACACGGTGACGCGTATTAACAGTGTTGGAACACAATTCTGGTCCTACAGTAGCGTGAGTCTGAAATCTCCATGTGGTGTTGAGAAAGACGCAGAAGACAATATCTATGTGGCGGGTAAAGAGAGTGACAATGTCCACGTGTTATCCTGTGATGGTGAACTTATAAGAATCTTCGAGGATATTCCAAGGCCGGACTTTATGAAAATAGACAGAGACAGAAAGTTGTGTTGTGTCTGTAGTCAAAGGAAAAACATTCAAGTCTTTGAACTGAAATAATTGCTCTAAAAAATACTTATCTTTTGAACTGGAATGAAATCCAGGGATAACTTTTAAATGATTCAGGAGATAACTATGTAGTGACATGAAACTCAACAGTAAAATGTTAAATATTTCAAGAAGAATAAAACAGAAATATAATTTTGACAACAATAAATTGTACAGTGTATTACTTTCTACAGTTTTGCATTTTTTATGATTAACTGAAGAGGTAATGGTGAAAATATAAGAAAAACATGAAGATAACGAACAGTGATGACAATTTGGGAGGAAGTTCATCGTTTGTAAGGAATTCTATGGCGTTTTTGGAATACCGTATAGGTATTATAACCCAATTTTTAAAAATTGTTTTGAATATAAAAATTACTTCTGAAAAACTAAAGAATGATTTTTGAAAAAAGAATTCATCCTAAGAAAAATATGGGTAAAAGTAAGATAGCCACTTGCAGAATAAAGTTAAACAATAAAATTTATTTAACTAAAATATTTTTTGATAAATGAGAAGTAAAGGTTGTATATATCGTGTCACTGCTAAGTTTGTGCAAAGTCAGGTAGTTATATTAGCCTGAAAATCACATGACAGATTAAAATTAGAAAATATTTGTACAGCTAAAAAGACCATGCAAGTTAAACGATTAGCGGACTAATTTTACTCTGAAATATTTTTTCTTGAGAAACACGTAGGGTGAACACTGTCAATCAGTTGACTGTATATAGATTTTGCCTTTTTTAAGCCAAAGTGCTTAGAAGATCAATGTGGCTGATGGGCTTTTGTTCTTTCATTCTATTTGGTATGATTGGTGCACATTTTGTTAGTTTAACATGCATAGTTAAATTACAGAATAAAGCTGCATTGCACAACTGATTCCCAGCATAATTCAAGATATTATTAATTTCTTTAAAAAGTCATTTCAAAATTTTCAGTGAGGCGGATTTCATTGAATTTTTGAGTGTTTGTGTTCCTCGTTCTAGTACCTTTAACAAGTTAACAAATTGAACACACCCGCAAAAAGGTATCATTATCACATAAATTAAATAACAAAACTCTTGCGCCGTTTATTATAACATTTACGTTTCACGGGTGTGTTCAATTTATAAAACTCATATTATATTATATGCACATATCCCCGAACAAGGAATAATTTTACCGGTGAGTTGTTTTCTTTCTCAAATTTCTACTCCGAATTTTATGGATTATTGTTCTCATATTTTTCTACGAAACACAACAAATGTTCCTAACTTTCTTAAGTATTGGGGATAAAGTATATTTCGTGAAAGTGCAAGGATGTGTCAATAAAACATTGCCGAATTCGTGGTTTAAGTAATTTCCAAATAAAAAAAAATTATCATATTTTTTTTTGAAATTAAACATCAACATTAAAAGTATGATACTATACGGAAATGTGGAGAAATATTGACTTCAAACCTGTGTCTTATCCTCTTTAAAGTAACTGTTTGTAATCGTAACATTTCAATATGTAGACAAGTAATCAATTTTTACACTTATGGTTGAATGCCCAATCTTAAATTGACTGAAAAGCATGCTTGTAATTAGCAAAAGGCATTTTTTAGAAGAATTATATATCTTTAAATATGGCCTATAAAAAGCATTTTGTCCCAATAGAAACAAGACATGAATAAGAATATTACTCAACACGTTTGACAATAAAGCAGATATATCACACCTAGTGATAAAAAGATGCAAGATGCAGCAAAAAATAAAGTGCAGACAATGCAATTCAAGTCCCTTTAATTTTGTCCCAATAGCAGGCTGTATCGAAGGGTTGTTTTTGCATCGTTTCCATAACAAGGAGTATCGAAAGCATACACTGTTTTGAAGGGTTGTTTTTGCCTTGTTTCCAAAACACGGATTTCAAGCCGACCGGAGGGTCACTGTTATAGAGATATAAAATGGCATCGGGGGTTACCACTGATAACGTTTTTATGTGTTCAATATGTTTCGAGAAAAATTCAAAACTCCGCGATATCTACCATGTTCACATTCGTTTTGTCATGATTGTTTGTCATCTTATATAATCGGTTCATGCACAGGTACGGAGGGACATTTGGGGTTTAATTGTCCGTTATGCCGTGAGTATATTCCTTGTTTTGGTGAACTAAAAAACCTAGAGGATTGGGCAAGCCTTTTCCCTTTAAATGATGTTTTGGAAATGGTGTCAGTGAATGCAGACAAAAGAAATTGCCAGGCCTGTTTGCGAGAGAACGAAGAAGAGAATGCAGTAGAATATTGTCTCTCTTGTAAGGAATATTTATGCACAATGTGTATAAAATATCATAAAAGGGGACTTACGACTAAAACCCACAAATTGATTAAACTAGCTGATTTGAAAAGCACGCGTATTGCACCCAATGCTGTCAGAGAAAACACATGCTTGATTCATCAAGATAGAAAGATAGAATTATTCTGTAGTGACCATGAGGAACCCTGTTGTACAATGTGCGTGAGTATGGAACACAGAGAATGTAAGAATGTCGACAAAGTCCAAAAAACTGCCCAAAACCTCAGAGAATGTTTGAAAGAAAATGATGATATCATACTTGAAGACCTAGAGATTCTGAAAAACAAACTGTCAGATGCAAAGAATGAGCAGGAAATATTAATCGTTAAATTACAGAACAGAGCTGATATTTTTGTAGAAAGTACTGAACAAGAATTCAATGCAGCTATCCAGCATTTAGAGTTTCTGAAAAACGAACATTTGACAAATATGTCAACCGTTGTGAAGAAAACAAAAGAGAAGTATGACAAATGCATTAAATCGTTTTCTGATGGAATTCAATGCGCGGACTATTGTACTCAAAATTTTGAAGAAGCAAAGAACAAAGCCAATGACGCCGAATCAGTTATAAAGTATTATAGAGGAAAGAAGATAGTTGCTCGACTAAAAGATTATAATTTTTCACAGATGAATGTCGAGATTGAAAAGGAAAAGCCTTGCATTTTGAAACAAACATGGACTTAAAAGGCTGAGAGAAGCACGCCTTTTCGAGTCAGTTATGGACGTTATTACTAATATGAAAAGAGTTCAACTGAAAATAATTACTGAATTCACAATTGATGTCGGATATGTGCGAGATGGAACATTTCTTAGTAATGGACAATTTATTCTTTCAACCAGAAAACCACAAAGAAATTCTTATGATGATGAATGTTTTGTATATGATAAGTATTGGAAATGTATAAATGTAGTCAGATCAGTGTCCCAGCCGTTTGGCCTTGTACAAATGGATAAAGACGCCTGTGTAGGCTGCACATCATCAAATTCGTTAACAGTTTTATCGCTACCTTTTATAAACAAAGTGAAGACAATGCGGGTGAACATACGGACTGATATGGAAATATTTGGAATTGCATATGTACATGGTTATTTTTATTTAGCATGTGACAATAGAATTATAAGAACTAAAGGTAACGGGCGGTATATTGACGAATATAGAACAGGATCTGGCGTAAGATATATTATTTCTATAGGAGGTAGAATTGTCTATAGTAATAGGAAAACAAACGAGGTGACAGCAAGGAGTATTAGAGGGTCAGTAATATGGACATACAGCAATCCTCATCTAATATCACCATGCGGACTTGACAAAGACATTGACGACAACATTTATGTTGCAGGTAAAAACAGTGACAATATACATGTCCTTTCTAATTATGGTAAATTAATTCGACTCTTTGAAGATATTCCCAGACCGGATTTTATGAAAATAAACCAAGACAGAAACATTTGTTGTGTGTGCAGCAATCGAAGAAATTTTAGAGTGTATGAGTTGAAATAACTAGTTGGTGTAGTAGCTGTATATAAAAGTATATTAAAATGGAGCATTACTTTCACCGTTATGCCGTTGTCATACAGATTGAATACATTTTAATATTTACATTACTGAAATATATTGAATCTTTGATGAATATTTATTATTTTAGTTTTTAAATATTTTAAGCCAATTTGACCATATTATTGGAATTTTGAAGCCAATATATTTGTTTTTATTAATCAGATATTACTAAGAAATTGAAATAAAATTTTAGCAGTGTCAAAATAGATTTGCTTTATCAATGTTTGGCAAACATACTCCTCCTTGGCACCTGATCCCACCTCTGATGTTTTATAATTCGTGTTTGCTCAGTACCAATTTTGTAATTTATTAATGGACTTTTGAGTTTAAATGCTGTTCGTTATCTCCACACATTTTATGCAATCGTATCTTTATATTTATAAATAGAAGCAATCTTTATTTTTTTAATATCCATTAACCTTTAAATGCGTATAGGTGTAAAGAATTTTTTATGATGGGAAAGGATAATTGAAGTCTTCAATAACATAAAGGAAATTTTTACGATAATCAACCCTTTAGAAAATCAGAGACCATTTAAACTGTAAGGTCTATTTACATGTGTGATATACAATGCAGAACATTCATAATGCATTTAAAAAATAAACTGCATGAAAGGCATAAGGCATTTCTTATTCTCTGCGCATTTTTCAAATTTCAGAAAGCATTGCCATATTTAGAGTATGAAATTTCAAGGGTGTGAAAGGTATATTGACATTAAAATTAGCTTTTGTAAACTTTTTACTTGCAAATCAACTAATTAAAAGTACACGTGTATGATTTGATTTATTTACCTATTGCATTTTCGGGAAAAAAAATCCTGAAAAATTATGTTGTCTATGTGAAATATTTTCTAGTGCTCATAATTTTTTATAGTAATATTTTTCTTACCATGAACAGATGGCATTACAGCAGCGATGAAATTGACATTTTTTCATTCTAAAAACACTGCAACAATGACTTTTTAAAAGAGATTTTATTTTCTAGATGAATAAATGCATGTACATATTCAATACTATATTTTAAAAAAAAAATCGTCAATACTAATGATTTTGTTTATGTTAATAAATCTAAAATTGTATTTTTTTTCTATATATAAAATGATTTTATGATTAGCATCCTCAAATATCATTAGTGCGCACTAATAACATCTAGAGTATACAGGGGGCAACGAAATAAAGACGATTGTTTTAAATTTATTCAAGTGTACTGATCCCTACTTACAAAGTCTTTT